TCTCTCTCTCTCTCTCTCTCTCTCTCTCTCTCTCTCTCTCTCTCTCTCTCTCTCTCTCTCTCTCTCTCTCTCTCTCTCTCTCTGTGTGTGTCTCGTTCGCACGCGCACACACGCTTTCCACAGAAAGCGTGCACGACGATTACAAACAGAAAGCAGCCAAAACACCATAACGATGACTGCGTTTAAGAGAACGGGGAGTGCAATTAGAAGGCAAGTCCATGGCCCTCCACAGAGGTGGAGGGAACCTGGACGAATACTGAAATCGTGGCAGCCTATCGAAATTGAGGCGATTTTCTGTCCATACATACAGACGCGGCGAGCACATGCCTACGCAGACATGCATGCGTACATATACAGATACATGGGCACAAAGCCTGAGGGAGACATACAGTAAGAGCGGAGAAAAATGAGCCTACCTCCTCCATCTCCCGCAGGATGACGCCTCTCTCTCTCTCGATACTCCTCTCGTCAAGCGACGAGTTCTGCAAGATGTCGGCTAGAATGTCGACAGCAACCTGCACGTCCTTCTTCAACACCTTCGCGTAATACGTGGTTTGCTCCCTCGACGTGTACGCGTTGAGATGACCCCCCATATTTTCTATCTCCTCTTCCAGTTGCCGCATACTCCTATTCTTCGTTCCTTTGAATGCCATGTGCTCGAGGAAATGCGCTGTTCCATTCGTCGCCGCTGTCTCGAACCTCGAGCCCGCGTCGATCCAAACGCCAATGGTCGCCGTCTGGGCGAAAGGCGCCGTCTCGGTCGCCACGCGCAACCCGTTCGGCAGGCGTGTCACCTTCGTGGCTGGTGTCGTCAACAGCGACCCGTGGTCGTGCGCGACTGGGACGGCGGAATTATAGCGGGTGAACCGCTCATCAGCAGAGACGGCGACCGCATCCGCCGAAAAGCACCGATGAGAACACACTCCCCACAGCGCTCCTCCATCGCCGCCGCGAGCACTGGGATTTGCAGTTACGGCCCCAACCTTCGAGCTCAGCTGCCGCGCCGTGCGCGCCGCCGCGGCTAACAGCCTGCCCGCCATCGCCTCGCCTCGCCTCGCCTCGCGAAAGCGCGGAGCCGAACACCACTAGCTGCGCACACGCTGCCCTGACCTTCGGGGAGTGCCTCAGAGAGTGCCTCAGACGATGCCTTCGACAATGTCGAATGTCGACACGACAAGATGAGAGAGGCGGAGATGACAGGAAGGACCTCGAGCACCTCAGCGCCGAAGGACGCACACGGGGACGCACACGTGGTCGTCCGTGCGCGTGCTTCCCCCGCTGCAAATTTGGGATCGACTCCCTCGACACCCCGCCACCGCTCCCCCGCTCGGCCACTCTTTGGCCCGATTAGGCTGGACCGATAACAATACCCCATCGCAGTGGTCCCGAGCCGGCCATGGCCCGAACACCGAATCTGCCCGCCCTCCCTAACCCCCCCAGTTGCGAACGCTGTGGTACGAACGACCACAAAGTTGTTGGGACCACATCCGGGCCCTACGGTAGGGCCCGTCAGATAACCACCAGCCATTACCTCCGAGTGGAGCAGGAAACACGTTTTGGATTTCTCATTTTTTAGGGCTGCGGTATATACTGGGCTCGGGCGTAGGTTGGGTTTATACGCCTGATTCTTCATTCGTTACACACGCAGGTCGTATGGGCCCAATGGTTGTTGGAAGGGTGTTAAAATTAAAATTGAAGGCAGGGGCTTCTAGGGGGGCGGCAGTCCTTGCAGGCGCTGGACCAGTACTGTGTACCGCGCACGGTGCGGGAGCGCAGCCCAGATTGGCCGATGTGCTGTACTTCGGCATGGTATGGTGCAGTTAGGCCGGGCATATTCACAGTCGCAGGTAAGGTCTGGCCCGATGTGCTGTATCTCGGCATGGCATGGTATGCGCACATCGGCCAATGCCCAGCCTTACTCGCAAACACAACACACCCCCACAAGACCCCACCGGACTGAAACCTAGGTTATATACATTCACCATTACGGGCCTTTTTGCCTCAAATGCATTTTCAAACTCAAACCCTAACTGCGCTATAGTTTCTCTAGTTTTTTTTTTAGGGCGAAGTATTGAATGGCCGCCTGCAATTCATAATGATTTTATAGTCTTCATGTAGAGGTAAGTGAACTCGACCTTAAATCTGTATTTCAACAGTTAAGGGTTACAACAAATGAGTTATGCGATGAGGGGATGTCGCACCTGATTTCCAGCAAAGCTAAGCTCGGTAATGGCTTCAGCACACCAGGTTGAGATGTGGAGGGTTTCCCGAACTCCTTTTGTGATTTGAAATATATAAGCATAATTATATTTTTTTAGTTAAAAAAAAAAAGCAAGCGAGTCGGGTCGGATGGCTCCTACCTGAGTTTAAAACAGCGGGTATTACAATCACGCATGGATGAATGCACGACAACGACGCTCAAAGGCATACATTTTATACGGGGTACGGTTGTGAGAAACACATTTTTGGAAATTTTTGAAGCTGGGGCATGATATGGCATGGCATAGCGGAACTAAGCATAGCGTAGTCAACGAAATAATAGCACATCATGCGTCATATCGTGGTTTAGCGATATCTTGTTTAGCATACAATAGAAAAACATGGCATAGCAAGGCAGAGCATAGCAGATCACAACAAAACATAGCATACCACATGAACCTATACTTAAGGCATAACTTAGCATAACATAGCATAGCATACCACAACATAACATAGCAGAGGGAAAACATAGCAAAGCATGAAAAATCAGAGTTGAGGACAATACAGAATAGCATAGCACAACATAACATAGCACACCAGAGGACAACACGACAAATAATAACAGAAAATAGCAGAACATAGCATAGCATAGAGGGATTTCTCTATTTTATGTGCACATTTTTGTGTCGTTCGTTTTTTGTCGCTTCGTTTCCCACAGGCAATACCTCAACTTTGCACGGGGGTAATAGCGTCGTAACGAAACAATAACACAACATGTGTCATGTCGTGGCTTAGCAATATCTTGTTTAGCATACCATAGTAGAACATGGGATAGCATGACAAAGTATAGCAAAACATAGCATTGCATATGAACGTAAAACTTAGGCATAACGTAGCATGGCATACCACAACATAGCATAGCAGAGGAAAACAAAGCATAGAAGAGCATATCATAAGAAAAAACATAAAATTAAAGTCAAGGACAGTACAACATAGCATAGCATAACATAACATAACACACCAGAAGACAACACAACAAAGCACAGCATAGCATAGAAGAACATGGCACATCATAGAGAGAGTTATATATTTTATATGCACATTTTTGTGTCGTTCGATTTTTATCGCTTCGTTTGCCACATGCAATACTCCAACTTTGCAAGGGGTATATGTAACAGTCACACAAATGTGTTGTAACTTATTCTAAACCACTCGAGAGAGAGTTCATACTCGAGTTGCTTCAGTCACTCTTTTTTTAGCATTCATTGATTGTTCCAATTTAGTTTTTCATTAGAGTTTGGTTGTAAGCGTGTTGTTATAGCTATTGCAATCGATACAATTACTACCATCGTCATCTTTTGTATTCGTCACTGGTTGACATTATCATCTTTGCGAGCAATATCGCCAATACCATCAGTGATCGATATTTCCTCACCACCACTGTGGCAAGTGATAGATGTCATCAATACTTCCCCAGCAACATCGACGCTATTCTCTTCGTTATCATTGCTATTGACATCTTATTTACCATTGTCGATATTATGAGTGTGATTTGAGTGTGTTGTTGGCTGATACATATAACATTGTTATAATAGCTTCAAATTTTTTGTTGTGGTTGTCATTACTGCTCACATACTCACTTATATCGTCTCCTTCTTGGCCTGGTGACTTTTTATATGAAGCTCTGGACGTGATTTTAGCCGGATACATGTAGGTTTTGCCATAATTACAGTCGGATCTATTTCGCAGACTGGTATCGAGTTCTTTTTTTTAGGTGCAAAGGTTCATTTTTTGTTCGCCTCTTGTTCATTCGTTTGCCACAAGCAGTGCTCGAACTTCGAAAATATGAAATACGAGATCAAATATTCAATTACAACATCCAAACATGGCATACCAGAAGTGGAAGACTCGAAAAACATTTGTGTTTTATGCAGGTGGTGAAGAACGGAGCGAGACTATGTTATTTTGATCCAGTAGGTGTGTGCAGTGCAAACATAGCATTTCGAATAGAGTGTGTGGCAGAAAAGATTGCATTGCTCGTGTGTGTGGAAGTAGGAGACTTGTTTGTGTGTGGCTGGGGGCGGCGGGGGCACACCCCTCCCATGCCTGCATGTTTTCGGTTTAAGTGCAAGAAATATATTTTTGTGGATGTGAAAAGTTGAGTACATCATAGGATAGCAAACCAGAAGACAACATGGGATATGAGAGCATAACACAACACAACTTGAATGGATGACTCCTTAGCAATAAAAAAAAAAGAACAAAAATTAGGACATTGCTTTGAGACGGGGTTTGTCATTGTTTTGGTTTAAGTGAGGAGATATATTTGGTTGTTGTTGCAGCAGTTCTTTGGGCTGGTGTGTTTGATTATATATATATATCTGGCACGTCCCAGTCCCAACCCGTGTCATAACATATATACATATAACCTTTTCAGAGAGGAGAGAGAGTATTGCGAACCACCCACCCCTCGTAGAGGAGAAAGCGTATTTAACGTACCAGTATGAGAGAGAGTATAGCAAACCACATATTCGTTTGGCGTGCTCTCGTCGTATGTATTGTTGTTCATTTTTGTACCGTTGCACTCGTCATGCGATTTTAAAGGTTATTGTGTGTTATTATAATCATAATATATATATTTGGTACATCACGGTTCTGACGTGTGTCATAGCATATATACATATATCCTTCTTTGAGACTAAATGAAAGGTTTTATAGGTAGCCGTTTAGGCGGTTATTTTTTTTGCAGGACAATAACGGTTCAGAGAGATCGGTTCTGAAAACACATAGCACTCGTTTGCGAGAGGGGGGGGCTCCGACCCGCTTTCTGCAAATTCTTTTTCCCCCCTGAATGCTTGATTTACACGTATGAAAAATAGCATTACAAGCCACACCTTGGCATGGGGGGGACGGGGGGGGGGCTCTGACCCCCCTTCACACACCTGTTCCCCCCCCCCTGCGTGTTTGAGCTACAACTATGATAGACAGGTGGGAGCTCAGTGCATTAATAGTAAACAACGAAAAAAAAAAGGATGAGCTTTGTCTCCAAAATGGGTGTGCATGAGAGGGAGTTTGCTCGCACAGTGTTGGTGCAGGAGCAAAGCTGTACCAGCCCTTAGAATGGGCATGCATTGTCGACCGTTTCTCAATCTAGCGCATCAGGTCGACACGTGGTCTATTAAGCTGCAGATCAGGGTCCGAATGTCGTCAATTGGTGCAATAATTTTTTTTTTTGTGTTTCGTTTTTGTTTGTTGATTGTCGGGGTGTTAACTCTACGTCCATCCATTCACTATGAAGCATCATTACCTATATCGAAGAGGGAGGCGTCACAGTAGATGTATATATAGTTTACCAAAGTGCAGATATAGAGATCGAATTTTGTCAACCAGTAGGGAAACTTTTTTTATGCCCGAACATAACCGCTTACACCCAAAGTTCAGACTTCGAACTTTAATTTGAGAGCAGGTCTTAAAACGTAGAATGCAACAAACGCAAACTGTAAATCAAGAGAGGGCTATATCAGAATGTCATGCGGACTATAAATTTTAACCGAACTCGTCATGCACAACTTAGTTGATTGATAAAAAATGTATCATGTCTTTCCAGATCGGCAAACATAGGTGCGCAAAAACTGCACAGATTTTTAACCCAGACTCATACTTCAACGTTAAAAGTCACATCATGGATATAAAGCAAAAATGTGAGGTTCTACTTACATTTTGCATTTATGATGTTGATCCTAAATACATGTGGACGATTGATATGCCAAAAAAATTATGTCAGTGATAAACAGTTCCAAGCTACGAGGTATGAGTAATTTTGAAATGAAAAGAGAGATATAAAATTGTGCATGGCTTAAACAAAGATCAAAGAGAGAGAGAGAGAGAGAGGGAAAAAAAAAAAATGAGAGAGGGAAAGATGAACATCGTTGAACGCAGAAACATTGTGTGAAAGTAAATAATGAAAAATAATGTTGCAAGATAGAGAGAAGGAAGAGGGAGAGTGAAGAGGAAAGAGAAAGAAAGATAATCATCAACATAGTTTCTTACACCTATCACCCTTTGACGACCTTGTCTTAAGTTATGCACCATCTCCTTCCT